TTGCGGCAGTAACTATATTCATCAGTACATATCTCTGCAAAGTAGACTTTACATTCAGTTTACGTTTAGATCATAGTTGGTTGCAGGGGCGGATCTACTGGGGTGGCATGGGGTGGCAACTGCCACCCTAAAAAATAGCCTTGCCACCCCAGTTGGCAGCTTTGTTTTGAAATAAAAGTTGTGGCTCATCGGACATTTATGAGAGAAAATCCCTAATGTCTGAGTGCAAGTGAATGCAGCACAAGACGCGAGTCTTGTAGCCCCTCCCCCGGCCCTGGCGCGAGCGTGGAAATATGATTGGCGGCGATTTCATTTGAACGGGACGGCGCAAAACGAGAAGCATTCGAACAGTCTATGATTCGGACCCAAGTAGACGGAAGGAATGAGGTATTTGCGGTCTACAATGACAGAGAAGAGACTATCAAGTTTGGCTGTACTCAGCATTGAATCAAAACGCACTAAAGCTTTGGATCTTAATAAGTTTGTGAGGCGTTTTGCTGAACAAGATGGTAATCGCCGCATTCAGCTGTAATGGGAATGCCAACTTGATGCTCTGCTCACGGATGAGCATAAAAAACTGTTAAGATGATGACCTTATGAATTTTTTTTTTTCTTTGAAAAAACAGTTTTAAGTCCTGAGAAAGTGAGACAGTGTGTAAAACTACACTGCCCAGCCAAACAAAAGTAAAATGTTTGTTCTTTCTGATGTAAAGTCAAGGTTGTAACTGTTTGCAGTAAAGTTGTGGGGCGCTGAACTGTTCTTTTGATTCTTATGCATTTTGATATGATAGTAATTTGTCTTTCAAATTTGAAGGAGGGTGAGCAAGCATCTTGAGGAACATTCATCATTAACTCCTCCAAAAAATATAGTTTATTCAATAATAAATGAATATGTGAATCATAACAGTGATTGACAGCTGATAGGAATATTATGATTGTTAATATTATCATATTAATTCAGACAAACATTGATGAGACAGTTAATTAATGTACTTATTGCAGCACTGCAGCAGTCTGCATATATTTGGTACCCCTGCTGGTCTAAGAGTGAAACAAACTCCTTCAGTTACTGTTCAGTTAAAATTCATTAAACTATGTCTGCCACCTTATATATTTCTATTTAAGGCTTTACTGATGTGCCACAATAATGTCACCAATGTTATTGAGTTACAATATAAATATTGTGGCTTTCCAAGTTAACATTGATTGATATGACTGTGATTAAATCAGCATATACTTCTGCAAGGGGATGCCACCCCTCAAAATCTCCTGCCACCCTCTTGCCACCCCATGAATATTTTTCTAGATCCGCCCCTGGTTGGTTGGATGTTCTTCGCACCATCCTGCACTCAGAAACAGCATGACAGCTGAACAAGTGGCAACATTATTTAATATTCTTGGATGTGGCAGAGTCATGTGCAGCCCACAGCCCATCTGAGCAGTGGGAGAAGATGATCCTCTGCCAAAAGATTCAAACGTGTGCTGAATATTTTCCAAAAGCTCAGAGAGTTTACGGAAGCTTTGAACGGATCCAGATAATGAATAATTATCTTCAAAGCGTTAATTACAGTTAATTATTTAGGTCCATAAGTGAATCAGTCACGGTGACACAGTATTTGAATACTACTTTACAACTACTTTAACATGTGACAGTCTCTCTATCAAGCTGTTCAGCCTACCTGTTACAGAACGCTACAGAGATCCGATGCAGGTGGCGGCAGCAGGTTCATGGAGCTGTGGGTAGGGTGGTTCCGGCCCTCAGTCCCCCTGAAGCAGAACAGTTGCGCACTGAACTGTTGAGCTGCTACCGCTCACTTCGCCGAGGACACCAGCTGCAGAGGCTCAAAGCACCAACTTATCCTCCTCATGGGGCGACCCATCACTCGATTTACGAGCCTATGAGGCTGACAAAGCGCAAACATACCCACCGTCCATCAAATAATAAGGCTGAATGTCCCACCGCCCCCTCGTGTCTGTTATCAACATTTCCCAGATCTCGCATTTGCTGATTTGTCGGGTTCTCCTTTATTATCCAGCATGCACCTCTCTCACTCAGAGCACCATGGATCGCACATCATTACTCCCTGCTGCTCCAACAGCCACCTGGCAGTCCTCATAATAAATAAACCAGGCAGTGGCGAATTAAAGTGTCCCTGTTGCACCTACACCGAGTTCAGATTATGGTGACCTTGTATAGCAGTATTCCATCTATATATAAAAGCAACAGAATAACAAAAGGTTATTTCTTGTTTTGCGTCTTTGTATGATCGTGAGGGTTGCCTCCAACATTTGCAATTCCACAACCGAGCAGCGTGAGTGACAAAGGTGCGCTGCTGCTGAGCGACGGGGCAAACAATACACCAGGAGCTGAAGGCACTTAAGGTTACATGGTGGCAACACGCACTGTATCATGTTATAATAGTAACCTAGGCTGTGACATGTGTCAGCGGGCAGTTACGCGTTTAGTTGTATTTACATTAGCATGCCTTAATGCTCTATAACTCCGAATATAGAAATGCAATCTATAATCTCAACAGACTCATCATTCCCTTTATCAGTGCTCCGATACATCTACAAGAAACACATTATCCAAACACAGAGAGCAGAAATAACACAGTGTGAGCACCGCTGAGCACCGACTTCCCCCGCCCCCCCGACACAGAGCTCTCTTACCGGGTGGCGAAGCAGCCTCTTCCCCTCTCTGGTAATTTTCCTTTTCACACCACGGCCGGGCATTTGCGAATCAATTCAGCGTGCAGGTCTCCCCGTCGGGATATGAATGATGAATGTGCGGGTTAAATTGTCCATTTTCCATATCCACAACAGTCTACACACGACCCGCCCCCGGGAGGCAGCGATTGGTCCAGAGGCTGCTCGACGTCTTCGTTCAGCGTAAAGAAAAACACACACATCTGGATGCAACCGCGCGCAACTCGCTGTGGAAACACCGAATTACGCACAGGAATTAAACCGACATGGATGGGCGTCACATTTCTCATGGGACATTTAAATGTAGACTATTCATTCGGGCTGAACTTTAGATAGATATCTTGTCACCTTTGCGGAAACTATTCAAATACATCAGTGTAAACACTGGGCCATCATTATGATGACTATCAGGGAGACCAATGTGGGAGAGTTGTGTTGTTTTAGCTGTTAAATTATAAAACAGCACTTTTGGAATGGCAATATGTTGGCATATATTTAGCTAAACACATTAATCATCTAAAATAAATAACCCCAATTTAGCCTCAAGTTAAGGATTTGAACAAGCCAAAAAGGATGTTAGGAATCAGATCGTTTCGAAATGCACCACTAGCAGAAGTATTTTAATATAGTCAACTGTATTAGCCTATGTGTTGTAGTGAGTGTCTTTTAAATGTGTGACTGCCAACGTGGGTAGGCTACAACATACCCGGGAAACAGAGAGAGTGACTGAGCGCCTTGAAACATGTCTGAGACTCTTGCGCCGCCCTGTGTGCGGATTAAGTCATCCTTCTTTCTTTCCTTCCCTCGGATTTATAACTAATAATGTAGGCACCTTGAGTAAGGATTTCTTTTTAAATATAACTACAGTTCCCAAGGTCAATAATTAATTGTCAAGCTCTAACAGCCATGCTCCAGATGTCCTCTTCAGACAATATGAAGAAATATACCTAGTAATGAGTTTACCTTACCATAAAAAAAGCGAGACAAATGGAGAAAGTTAATTTAGAACCGTTAGAACATTTACACCTCATCACTCCAAAGAGCATTTAAACACTCACTCACTTGCAAGTTTAGAGAGCTTAGAAAAGCAGATCTTAGGCATTTAAATGAAAAAACTGTTCGTGTGAAATGCTTGCACATCTTTTTGATACAATTCCTTTTTGGTGGGGGAACGAAGCTGCAATGAAATATAATGTAAAGAGAATATTTTGAATGCCTGATTAAATAAAACATATTTTGTGAAAGATGTTGTGGTTTTATTTAAAGTGGGCTATATTTGAAAAATATATAGGGCCATACAAAAAAGTATGTGAACCCTTTGGAATTACCTGGATTTCTGCATAAGTTGGTCATAAAATGTGTTCATGATCTTCATCTAAGTCACAACAATAGACAAACACAGTCTGCTTAAACTAATACCACACAAACAATTATATGTTTTCATGTTTTTATTGAACACACCATGTAAACATTCACAGTGCAGGGTGGAAAAAAGTATGTGAACCCCTAGGCTAAATACTTCTTCAAGAGCTAATTGGAGTCAGGAGTCAGCCAACCTGGAGTCCAATCAATGAGACGAGATTGGAGGTGTTGATTAAAGCTGGCCTGCCCTATAAAAAATACACACCAGTTTTGAATGAGCTATTCTTAAGAAGCATTGCCAGATGTGAACCATGCCTCGCACAAAAGAGCTCTCAGAAGACCTACCATTAAGAATTGTTGACTTGCATAAAGCTGGAAAGGGTTACAAAAGTATCTCTAAAAGCCTTGATGTGCATCAGTCCAAGACAAATTGTCGATAAATGGAGAAAGTTCAGCACTGTTGCTACTCTCCCTAGGAGTGGCCGTCCTGTAAAGATGACTGCAAGAGCACAGCGCAGAATGCTCAATGAGGTGAAGAAGAATCCTAGAGTGTCAGCAAGAGACTTAAAGAAATCTCTGGCACATGCTAACATCTCTGTTGACGAATCTACGATACGTAAAACACTGAACAAGAATGGAGTTCATGGGAGGACACCACGGAGGAAGCCACTGCTGTCCAGAAAAAACATTGCTGCACGTTTGAAGTTTGCAAAAGAGCACCTGGATGTTCCACAGCACTACTGGCAACATATTCTGTGGACAGATGAAACCAAAGTTGAGTTGTTTGGAAGGAACACACAACGCTATGTGTGGAGAATCCAAAGGGTTCACATATGGAAATGGAATGCTATTATATCCAATATTTCCCCTGTACCTGAATGCAGCATAAAGCTCCTCCCAAACCAGAAGTGAAACCGGATGGATTTTGCTATAGAAATCCGCGAGCTCCGCCTGTCAGGCAATGTTTTCATAACTATCCTGCCACTTTCGCAACGGTTGTCGACGAGCAGTGAGACAAAGATCACCTGACAGACTTTACTCAGGAAACGTATACACACAAAGATAACTGTGTATTGATTGAATCTTTTACAAGATCAATGCAGTCGCTGGTGTGCTGCTGAGCAAGTATTAGCTGTCTTCATTAAGGAAAGGTATGCTCTTCGTTAGAACTTGCAAACAAGCGGGATTCAGATTCCCCTTTAAAACTAATGTTGGTTTATTTCAGGCTGCTGCTAGGTAAGCGAGGACAAGCATGACATTGTTAAGTATTACAATTATATCGCTTCTGTTCATAATCTGTCATATTGGATTGGTTTAACTAATCGTTCCAAAGTATTCAACTCCCATTTATTTACATTAGGAATGACTTCTGTAATGCAAGATGTTTGGTAAGATACCCGTGACGTCAGTTTGAATAGTCACGTAACAGATACAAATTATTATATTACAAGAAGCTTCACCAATTCATTTTGAGATCTCATAGGCAGGCTAAAAGATGAAACTGAACACGTTTGCAATATGTTTGCACAATATAGAGAACATATACCTCTAAAATAGGCCATATGACCTTTAACCAACTGCTCTGACTACAGCTGATACTACTGTCATTTACCAGAAGGGTCAGACTTGTATTACCCTGCAAGCTTGTTAACTGCTCAGAAGCCTCGTTTTTTCACTTCCATTCCTGTTTTATTTGTGTTTATGTGCAAGAACATATGACTGTATGAATGTTGGACACTCACCCCTGTCTCCAGCCACATATGAATGTTGTTCTCTCCATTCTTTGCTTTCTCTCGGCTCCATGTAGTACTTGTGGTCTGTCAAACGTAAGCATCATGCTGGCACAGCAGGCGGATCGGGTCATGGCACTCGGAGAATGGGAGGAGCGCTGGCAGGAGGACAGAATTGGTTTCCATCAGCCTCATGTACACAAGTAAAGGCCACACTTTGATCTGTCTTTTTGGTGGGATAAGGGAAAACACACGTTTTTGAAACGCTTATGTGTTGGTACAAAGTGACATTTACTGTAAATGCACAATTTCCCTTCAGTGATCCCAGAAAAATGCTTTGTACAGGAGCACATAAGGTCTATCAACATTGATTACATGTTTCTTTTTTAAATGTTTGGATGTTTTTTATAGGGTTTAGTAGTTAAATGCAAGTGTTGATGTAACACTAACTATTTAAAAACAACGTATGCAGGAATGGCTTGTGTGGCTGTTAACAGCTGTTTATCTTTTGACAGGATGCTGGAGAACCACATTGATAAAGTTCTTGCAGGACGAACTGGAGTTCGCTTCTTCTTCCCTCTCTGTGGGAAAGCTGTAGATATGAAGTGGTATGAAACACATGTACTTTATCCAATTAGAACAATTGCAGTTGGTGTTTTCAGTTTTCATTTCTGCTTAAAATAAAAAAGGCAGTTCCTATTAAAAATGTGTATACACCCTATAGTGAGAACATTTAGCTCAGCATGCCCCTGAATTCCTTCTACTGTTTGAATCTCAGGCTAGCAGACATGGGCCACTCGGTGGTTGGGGTGGAGATATCTGAAAAGGCTATAAAACAGTTCTTTGAGGACAACAATATGACCTACAGTGAGGAGCCTGTCCCTGCCCTACCTGGAGCAAAGGTTTTCAAGGTAGGATATCAATACATTTCTTTGACACATTGTAAGAGAAGAATGGATTTAATTCCAGGTCTGCAAACGCGAGGATCCTATTCAGGGGCTAAACAGACTTCATAATTAATCATGTCTTCTTTTATGTTGGTAAAATGTGCGTTATTGTTGAATGGGAAATAAGAATAGTTGACAAAAGTCTGCACTTTGTAACGACAAAACTTTGACAAAATAAAAATCATAACCTTATGTCCCAGTATAAATCAAGTTATTGGACCCAAAAGTAGGATTTTGTAGTTACACAAATTGACAAAATGGATAACCCCCCTTTGTCTTTGTTCCACAGGGCTCAGAGAGAAATATCTCCCTGTATCAATCTGACCTGTACAACTTCTCCAGGTTAGCGTGTGTTTATTACATTTGAAGATGTTCAATTATTTGTACGGGTGAATTTTTAAAACACATGTTCTTTTCCTTTGCACAGCACCATTGGGGGTCATTTTGGGGCCATTTGGGACAGGGGATCTCTAGTGGCCATCAACCCAAGAGACAGAGAAAAGTAAGATGAGGAAAAACACATCAGATTGGTTTTATTCAAAAAACATTTTGTTTATTTGAAAAATGTGACAGTTTGACCTTTTACATTTGAAACCCATGAAAAGCACTGTATCATTTACATAATTCTATAACAAATGCTATAAGACCTCAGGTAGTTTATTATAGAAAACATAGTTTGGTCCAATTTTGAATAAAACTTCACATGCTCAATGTTGTCTGACTTTATTCTCTCTCACAATAACACAGGTATGCTGCACTCATCATTTCTCTTATGGCCAAAGACTGCAGATACCTTTTGGATACGATGTTGTACAATCCTGAATTGTACGAAGGTAAATGTCCAGATTGTGTCTAAATTAACTTTTTGGTGAGTTTGGTGAAAAATAAGATATATTTGTGACTGTGTTTGTCTTTTAGGTCCTCCCTTTTTGGTGCCTGACGACCAAGTGAACAGCCTGTTTGGTGAGTATTACTAAGAACAACCGAGTGTTTCTGTACTGTCATTAACTATCAATGAGGCACCAAATCAATTAGGAAATGAAAAGGGGTGCAGTCAAAAGTGGTACTTAAATGTGTTACATGTTAGACTTTGGGGCCAACATTTATTTTCAGCTTTTAACAGTGCTTTTCTTTTCTTCAGGGAAAAGCTGTGACGTGGAACTGCTGGAGTCTTTTGATTCTCTGACAGACAGACAGCGAGGCTGGGGGCTGGACTATCTAGATGAACGTGTACATCTTATCACTCCAAAGAGCATTTAAACAAGTTTCGAGAGCTTAGAAAAGCAGATCTTAGGCATTTAAATGCAAAAACTGTTATTTTTTGTAATGCTTACACATCTTTTTAATAGTAACATGCAATGCTGGTGGGGGAACAAATCTGCAAAGAAATATCATGTCAAGAGAATATTTTTGAATGCCTGATTAAATAAAACGTATGTTATGACTAGATGTTTTGGCTTTATTTAAACCAGTTGGGCAGCTGTTGTGTATTATTGACTATATTAACAGTTCAAAATAGGACGTTTTAAAAAGGCTATGAATGTAACTACAGTCAAAGCAAGGATAACAGGTTGATGGGGTCACAGATTGAACTGCACATATTAAGTATAAATGTAGTTGGTTGGAAAATATCCTGTTGTTGATATGATGTAGTTTCTAATTCAAAAGCAGGTTAATAATACCTAATGTGACAAGACAATCTTTGTTTTAATCAAGAGTTATCAGTCTCACATATGTCATTGCAGGTGCAGACAAAAGATGAATTAAAGTGTTACCTTCTACACAAAAGCATCACATTTCAGTTTAGATAAAAACATTCTTATTATTCTTATTATATGATTAATTATTGCTATAAAAACTTTAGTATGATAAATCCTAGTAAGTGTTAATTGGGATCTTAGAGTGCTGAAAAGTGTAAAAAAAAGGCAATGCTAATCACATAGGCTATAGGAAATTATATTGTTTTTCGACCATGCTTTACAGCTGCGATTTCCCCAAGACAGAACTAATGTGTCATATACTGCAGAGGAAAATGTAAGCAACTTGTAAAATGAAGCAAAGTCATTTCGTATCAAGCTGATTTTGAAGGTTATATATTGACGTAATAACATGTATCACTACGTCGGGATGCAGCCTCTTCCACTATTGGTCGTTGCCTGGAAACAGTACTCCTAACATTAGCAAACGCTAAAAGGAAGGAATGCTAACTAACTTGTACAAAGTTTTGGACTCAACAATGTCGAAACATTCCGAGGAGCTACAACACGTAAGTAGCCGCATTGAGATGGACACACTTAGTTTTACAAACGTTGTGAGACAAAAGCAGAACGTAAGACACGACACTTTACAAGTTTTCAGACAACTGTTAACAACTGGCTAGCCTACTACCTACCGGTGTTTGTGCAGCGCTTTTATTTCACGTTAACCGTCTAACATGTCCAAGTATCTTATTGTAGTAATGCTAATAGTCAATATTTACAATTCATATTAAAGTGGCACGTTTAAAAGTGATGTCTGACTTTTGGGAAATACCTTTCAGCTGAGTGTACAGCCCTCAGGACGTTGGGTGTGGAGGGATGAAAGTCGAACAGTGGAGTTTGTCAGGTGAGCGCAGCTGGGCCTGATTACCAGCTACAGTAGCATGCACCTGCTAACAGTCACGAGACGTCGTTAAACTGTCTCGTGCACATCTCTCTCTTTTTGTTCTAGTCCAGCAGAGGAGTGTGTTTTGAGAAAAAGGAGGCAAACTAATGTCAATTTCAAAGAGCTTCAACAGCGAGCAGAGTGGTAAGGTCTACAACAAGGGGCCACATACAGAAAAATATATTATGGGCTGGGCCACTCACTACAGGTGAGGTATTGCCTCATAAGTTAAGTTATTAGTTAGCAAAATCAATCAAATATATTCTAAATAATAATAATTGAACATGGTGAAAGAAAAAGAAAAACAGCCTACATCACAGATTTATTTAGAATTATTTTCATTCTGTTACAAAAAGTGTTGGCTGCTCATCCCTTAAAATAGAAGCCTCAGATTGCTTTTTATAAGCTTGTTATGCAAATAAGTTATCTGGCTTTTTTATAATTAAGTTGTGTTAGAAAATGTGTTCAACTTTAATTGGTTGAATTTATTTGAAAATTGGGCTTATTAACACATGAATATCATGTAATATACATTTTTTTCATATATTTAAGAATCAAAATATAAGACTAGCATAAGTTTCAGGTGTGGGCCATACCCCATTATACTTAACTGAGGGCCAATTACAAGTTGACGAAGGGCCGAAGTTGGCCCCTAGGGCCGTAGTTTCGACAACCCTGGTCTACAACAAGCAGCTTTCAGACGTTTTTCTTTATAAATTCAAGTCTACGTTATATAACTGTTTATAGTGGTTCGAAAAGCAAAATAAATGTAGCCTTATAATAACCAATCGTTTTTGTAAGTGCATACAATATTTTGCAATGCACTTTTTTCACAGTCAAACCTGCACATGTTCATCACTGCTAATATTTCCTATTGCTCAGGCTGGCTGAGATCTGCACGTTGAACCATAGAGGGCGCCAGAGCATTAGAAAGAGCCTGCGTCCTGCTCATCTGCATGCCTACAGGTCCTCTGTGATGAGGCGGCGAGGAGACTGCATTACAACTGATGATGTTAAACGCAAGTTTCAATATGTTGTTGAAGTCCTGACAATAATACTGTATGACTTGGGTCGGCTACGCTTCTGTCATGTTAAACATTGGTAATTTGCTGAACTGATGCATTTTGGCATTAGATTACGTGCTCCATTTCTGTCAGAGCTTGTGCTTTTATCCCAACAGTGACACTCAAAGAACATTGAAGTTTTGGGGTAGACTATACATTATTTTCTAGATTGGCTCATACATTTGGTATTTCCCAAATCAAGTTAAACATGAATTATTGATCTTAATATCAAATACAAAACTATACCTAACTTTGCACTATGAAGGTTTTATTTTTGCCAAAGAGAGACATATTTGTATACTCATTGCATGCTGGATGACCTTTAACCCTTTGCTGACAAACTCTCTGTGTTGCAGAGGTGGCTGTGAGTTTGCTACAGGAGAATTACTTGCTTCCAATTCCATTCAGCTTCATGGCTGTATTAAAGTAAGGAATACAAAGACATGATGATTATTTTTACATGCGCATAGTTTCCATTGTTTCACATTTCAAGATCAGTTGTTCACCAATACTATTTGCTTGTCTGTGTCCTAGGTGTAAAGCTCTTGATGACGTCCTGCCTGCCCTTCTCCTTTACCTGTCCTGTTTCTTTGAACACAAGTCTCTGGAGGATATGCCCAAATCTTCAATGGCGTACGTGCGACAATAAATTGTCTATTTCTTACATTGCCATCATGTGTCCTATGGCTGGTGTTTATTGCCTGTATTGTAATGTTTGTCTTACCAGTCTGTATGTTTTTCCTGTCTTTATCCACCAGTGCCTGTGAGCTATCTTTCTTTATATATATTTTCAATTTTCTTTTGTATCTGTCCTGTATGTTTACACCCTCACTCCCTTTCTCAACAATCTGCCAGTGTCGACCGCATCACAGAGCACAAGATGATGGCAGAGGCTTTTGCCAAAAAGGAAATAGCACAAAAGAAGCTGGCTGTCTGCTACTTCAGCCTAATGATGGACCTGGAGATGGAACAGCATCAACACACAGCATATCAAAAGTGAGTATTTGTTCAGATTCAGAAAATAACTATTCCCATTGCAATGTTTTCACTCGGTTGTATTGATACCTTCTGGATACCAATGCATAGCCGAAGGAGACCTAAGAAACTGAGAAGCTCTGCTAAAGCTACTGGTCTGATGTTGCATTGCTGCTTTTATAAATTGCCAGATGGGGGTATACTTGGTGCAAAAATATAAAATATAGTCACATAATCATGCAAAACAAAAAATGTGAAACCAGATATGAGACCCAGTGCCCCAAAACATCATATCAACCACAACAAAAGTTAAACAATCACAGCTCACCACAACATACCAAGCTCTGCTGTGTTTCTGCAGGGGCCGGATGTTCTCAAACAGCACAGACTGGCTGCTGCATGCGGTAAGTGCAGAATAATCCAACAATGTGCAGGAAATGTACTAAATGAATCAGAATCTGAATAGATGGATACAATACTTGATTTGTATCCCATGGGAGTTGCTCCATTTTAGAATTGAATAAAATAAAATATTGACATTAACCTAAGAAGTTAAAGTAAAAATATGCACAGGGTATGATATGTAACGATAAATGTTTAAAATATGTGTATATATTAGGGCTGTCAGTCGATTAAAATAGTTAATCGCGATTAATCGCACATTTTTTATCTGTTCTAAATGTACCTTAGAGGAATATTTTTCAAGTTTGTAATACTCTTATCAACATATGAGTGGACAAATATGCTTTATGCTAATGTTTATTATCATTTGAACAATGACAAATATTCTCATGAATATTAAACACAACAACCTCTGAACATTACAAATATTCGCCTCAATTCAACCTGGAACCTCTCTCATACAATAATACAATACAAATGGTGTGTGTGTGTGTGTGTGTGTGTGTGTGTGTGTGTGTGTGTGTGTGTGTGTGTGTGTGTGTGTGTGTGTGTGTGTGTGTGTGTGTGTGTGTGTGTGTGTGTGGTGTGTGTGTGTGTGTGTGTGTGTGTGGTGTGTGTGTGTGTGTGTGTGTGTGTGTGTGTGTGTGTGTGTGAGTGTGATGGATCGTTGGAGCTATGTGCAACTCAAGGCATATGCTCGAACGGGAGCTGCCTGGACGCTGCAATCATGTTGCGCACTATCCGTGCTGAGTGTGCTGACTTTTCGTACAATGTCCCACTGTCTGGCTTCCTGCATAAAGTCAAGTGCTCGGCGCAGTTGTGGCGAAATGTCGCTCCTCTGTTTTCATTTAAACAGCTCCATATCCGTTAGCGCAGCTAGCTAGCACCAGATGCTAACAACAACAATGCACGTAAGGTCTCTCTCTCTCTCGCTCGGGCCACACATACACACACCCTCCCGGTCCTCCAGATGGCCAGTCGGTGCCTGCCGGTGAGCGTGGAAGTGTGGTCTGCCACAAGCGGGCGGCAGGAGCGGGGCTGTCAGCATCAGCTTGTAGATGGTATTTTAAACTCGATGCGCTCTGAAACTACGGGGCGGCCGAGGACAAAAAATACACATGCGTTAATCGCGTTAAAATAATTAGTGGAGTTCTTTTTTTTTTGCGTTAACGCGTTATTAACGCGTTAACTTGACAGCCCTAGTATATATGCAATGGTGTATCGATATCAATAAAGGTATTAATGCTGAATTGCTCAGTTAAAGAGGGAAATATGAAACTGGAATGAATCCATTTCCAACCCCTCAAATAAAAAATAAAAACGTAATGCCAGGATAAATCTGACTTGTAACTGACCTGAAATCTCTTCCCCAAAACCAGCATGTTGAAACATCTGAAACTGTATTGCCTCATGTGTACAGGGAAATAAATGAAGCCTTCAGCTCGAGAGCGTGAAGGCCGGCTCACCATCTGTGAATACAGACGGCAGTGAGCAGAACAGACAGACATTGAGTGCCGGTTCTGCCTGCTAGCCTTAATGAATTAGTTAGTGGGAGGAGATGTTGACTCAACACAGGTGCTTTGCTTTGACAGGCTCTCTACTGTAGCCAGGTGGGTGGACAGGGAGGGAAATATCAAACAAACACCAGCAGCCAACAGCTTAATGCCTGCTCTGTATGTGACCTTTTTAAAATACCATCTTATACGTGGCGAAAAAAGGCCATTGAAATGGCCTGATTGTCTAACTATTGGGTTAAGGACTACATTTATTTGAGTGTAGAACTCCTCATCTTTCCTCCTCTCTTCCCCTCCCCCTTTGTTTTTAGTGCTTGTACAGCTTCTTCTGTTATGCAGCCTGGGTGACGTTTGGCAGGAAGGACCTGAGGGACATCCAAGAGGAGGTGGGGCGTCTTCTGTACTCTGACACCTTTAACATGGCAGTGAGAAACAGGACTGATGGGGACTCAGGGACGACCTTCACTGCTGTTAATGGTTCAGTGAAGACGGGAGAAGCTGACCCCGAGGAGACGGAATGGAATAGCTCATTTAAGCACAGGTGTGTTAAAGCCAAGGGAAGGTTGAGTCAAGGAAAGGTGGCACACAGTGGGCTTTTATGGCTTTTCTGTTTCTGAAAACTCCTGCCTGCTGCTGCCAATAACATTACTGATGAGAGTGGTGAAGCAACAGAGTTTCAGCCCTGAGAACCAGATCAATAAGCTAAACAAAGATATGAAGCTCTGTAGAGCTGAAGGTGACTGGAGAGTGACAGCATGCCTTTTACTTAGTACTTAGTAATACTTAGTATTACATCATAGTTATTGTAGTATACATGTTGCATATTTTAGTACAATGTGCACACTTCTAATTTAACTGCACATTTTATTAAACATTTTACTTCAACTTCTTAACTTCTTATGTTTGTAAATATATATATATATATATACATATATTTATATATAAATAATATTTGTATTGCATTTCATATTGTATTCATTTACTTTATGTTAATACAAATAATTGTATTTATTATTTATACGTCTAATCTTTGTTATTGCATTTCATATTTTAGTCAATTTATTTATAATAATATTTGTATTTTATATTTATTTATCTTTTGTTTTAAACTGGAGACACTGTAATGATCCTGATTTCCCCCAGGATAATTCAAGTATTCAGATTATGATTCTGGTTCTGATATTCATATACTGTAGAAGTAAACATGTCATCCATTGTTGATATAAATATATATATAGTAGATGTTATAACGAATATAATGTATTGTCTAATCACCAATTTGTGTAACCAGTCCAGCAGACATTCAACATTTCATGGATTAGATAACTTCATGGCTCAGGCAGTGAAGTTGTCTTTGTCTGATGGATGTCATGTCAAAACCTCCAGCTGGAACATGATGATTGATGTAGACGGATAGCTTTGTCCGATAGGAGGGAATGTCTGACAGCCTGTTTTATGTTGCTGCTGTTTCTGAAACCAGATTGACAGCAGTGTAAGCTGTCAGAGCTCTCTCCTGCTGTCAGGTCGAGACCAAATAATCTGACGTTTGAAGCTCGCTCTCCCCCTGAGGGTGGCTGTACACAAAGGATTTTGGAGCAGAATCAGCAATGCTTCCAGCTATGTTGCAGAAATAAAAAAAATATGGTCTAAAAAAAACATTACACTATATATGTTTTGTGTTTGCACCTGGATTTTGAGAATGTGGCTCCCATTATAGCTTTCCTGGTTGTTTAGTCTTGGATATTTGCTTAACCATTAACTAAGGGTATGTATGACACAATGGAATACATGGAGAGTTTCTTCTTTTTAAAATGCTTATACAGCTGGCTGGGTGTATATGAACTACTATACAGATGGATCTTTAGTTGGTGTTGAATAAGTTTTCTCTTACTTTTTACTACCAGTCAAGCCAGTATGAATGTGTTGCCCTGTGTGTTTTTCTGAATATATCTTGTTCACATTATGCATGTTTCCATTGAGTATTTATATATTCTTGATCTGACTTTCCCCCCCCAGAATGCCTCAGAGACGTCCCTCCCTCAGCAGTATAGTTAATCAGCGATCCCCACTGATGATGTCTCTGCTGCCCTCGCCCAAAGAGCGCTCCCCCCATCTGTTCCTCGGCAACCAGGCCGGGGGACAGAGCCCGCTGCAGGCCGGCCCCTGTGACACTAAGGTCCTGATGGAGGAGCTCAACCAGCAGCTGGCAACTCTCAGGTGGTGTAAAAGATCACCCAATATGTTACACAGGATGTGATGTGTGTAGGTTGATCAAGGATATTTGTAAAGCAACAGTTATTGTTATATGTACTATGATCAGAGGTGGGAAGTAGTGGAGTACAAATACTTTGTTACTGTACTTAAGTACATTTTTGTGGTATCAGTACTTTACTCCACTACTTATTTTTGTGATGACTTTTTACTTTGACTTCTTACATTTTTAACACAAATACCTGTACTTTCTACTTCTTACATTTTCACAACAGGTTTGTTACTTTAGTTTTAATCTGCATTTGGTGGCGTGATCATTATTATTTAGAGTCATTGCGTGCCTATTGATTTGAACACGATCCGTGTATCCATCATTTCCTGGTCTTCTCTAAAGAAGAGCGACCAATGAAAACGTTGTCATGTTGCCGTTGTTCAGCATGGAAACATTCATTAGCTAACAATGACATCATTGTTCTATTAATATAAAGGCCGGTCAGGTACTCTTTAAAACAGCTGCTAGTTATGGGTACTTTTTACTTAAGTACATTTTGAAGCCCATACTTTTTTACTTTTACTTGAGTAAAGAAGTTTAGTCAGTACTTCTACTTTTACCAGAGTATTTTTTAAAACGAGTATCTGTACTTATACTTGAGTAAAGAATGTGTGTACTTTTGCCATCTCTGACTATGATGTCTGATACATAAATGACCACAAGGGGCCGAGAAATATTCCAAAAACAACTAATGGATACCACTGATAAGCTATTAGCTTCTCAAGTGCTTGTGGCTAACTTGTTAGCCAATACTTATGCACTTAGTCATAAGTATGTGGCAGACTAAGAGCCACATGTGGATGCTATTGGTGTCAAATGCTTGGCACTTCTGGTGTGGTCAACAAAACTCATAAAATAAGGATCTGTGTTTTACCCTACTATATGCTTCACTGTTTTCCCCAGCCACTTGATTGCTTTAAAGGGTTCCCACCGTTTTCATATTTCATACCTTTAACCATGTACAGTATGTGTGGCTAAAAACCTCAAAAACATACACTTACTGTACATGTTCATAAAGCTGCAGTTTGTGAAGAACTACAGTGACCCTTGTTGCATTAAAGGGTCTCATTTGATACTGTGTAAATGTAAGAATAGAGAAGCTTTATAGATGTATTTGGATACTAGTAATGATTAGTTTAAAGGACACGTAGCTGTGATTGCATTGAAAGTATTTCCTTTCTCCTGTCTGTTTTGTTTCAACTTCTTAGAAATTGGGAACTAATGTGAGAGAGAAACTAAACCCTTTTGTGATTAGGTGCCGGAAAACCCACTCCCCATGACTCTATTCAGAGCTCCCTGGGGTCATATTGTGTTAAAGAACGCTTTGTCTGGTTTTTAACCAAATAATCTAAGATTTCATATGTAAAGGGATCTTTATTGGCATCTAACCAGATCATCAATCAACCTAAAGAGTGGAATTATTCATAGAATATTACTTTCCACATATGTGGAGATATTACGTTTATTTCATGTGTGTTTTGTGCCATTATACCTTTCAGAAAATGACTTTCTTTCTTAAATCAGCTTCGGGATTCTCGGCAAGCCCTTGATGCAGTTCAGCCGCAGCACTCTGACACCCTATGGAGAGCAAGAGAACAACAAAGATGAGGATTACAGCCATGAACCAGAGAGTGATGTTAGTAACAACAGTGAGGATCATCCTGGCGTCCATGTTGGAGGTAGCAGGTCATCCTTCATGGAAGCCAAGTCCACAGGCCGTGTCAGATATGGCAGCACCCCCCGCTCACACACAAGACGCTCTGCAGCTACTGTTCAGGCACTGACCTCACACACTGAATGATGTGTATGTGTGAAAGTGGCAGAATGTTTTGAGTGTGAGTGTGCATTTGTATTGGTATAACAAAGACAACCTCCAGCACACAGGGGTCAGAAAAAGAGAACGATTCAAGTTTTCTTTCTGCTGTGCGGCTCATTTTCAGAAATACCTCCCTGGACCACACACACACACACACACACACACACACACACACACCACACACACACACACACACACACACACACACACACACACACACACACACACACACACACACACACACACACACACACACACACACACACACACACACACACACACACACACACACACATACCATGTATACATCACTTCAGGGGACATTACATTGACTTACATGCATTTCCTGGAGACTTATCCTAACCTTAACCATAACCAACACACGCCTAACCCTAACCCTTAACCTTACCCTTACCCTAACCCTAATCCTAATCCTAAACCTAACCAAGTCTTCACCCTAAAATTAATGATTCCCCTCATGGGGACCTCCAATTTGTCCCCATAAGGGAAGCCAGTCCCCACACGTGACTATGTAAACAGATTTAGGTCCCCACAAGTATAGTAATGCTAGACCACACACACACACACACACACACACACACACACACACACACACACACACACACACTATTTGCACCTGCATTTTAATCAGTTTCTTATTTGCCAGCTGGAGGTGCTGTTGAATAAAATATAATGGAATCCATAAAAACTTTGAAGGTCTGCACTTTCTATAGAGTCTGAAATATATTCAATTCATATGTGAAAATGAAGGAAGTCAAGCACATTGCATACATTATTGACATTGGATAATGTGTACTTGGGAAATTAAATTATATAGTTTTCACACAGAGTTTGTCACCCAGAACAGTGTTCACTTTTTTTTCATTGAAGGCTTCCGCTGTCTCGTGTGTCCTTCTGCTTCCTCACAACAGGGAGTTACATGACTGACACACGCACAACACACACATGCACACTATAATCAGCCCAGGCTTGTTACCATAAGGGGCTTTGCCTTTGCCCTAATTGGCGACGTAATCCTGGACACTAGGAGTAAAGTTGAGCCCTCGGAGGAGGAGGAGGAGGAAGCCTGGGAATCTTGTGCATCACGGTGGGAGATGGGTGACAAGTTATATCCTAAATTAGTTTCAAACATTTAAAGTGCTGTTGGTTTAAGTTTACACTGGTTTTAATCAAAGCGGTCCTCCGTTTTGTCCAAGTCTTTCTGGTAGAAATTAATTTACTCCTTTAAAATACGCTCAATTGATTAGTATTTTTTTGCTGAGAATACTGATACACTGACAAGTCTGCAAGTTACATTTCTGAATGCGGCCGGTTAGCTTAGTTTAGCAGAAAGGCTGTAAAAAGTTAGCCTGGGTCTTTCCAAAAGTTAAAGCAATATGCATAGGCTACCACTTTATTACGCATACCTCATTTGTTTCATCTGTATACAAAATGTGGTGTTAAACAACAATTCACAGTTTTACGAGGGAGTTGGTGTGAGCATATTTGTTGGCCAGCATTTCTGGTCAGTGCTAATAAAGGTCCTTTACACAATCCTTCATAAATACATGATTTGCTTTTACACTTCAGATTGTGCACATTTTTTATTAAAACAAGATATAATGTGTGCAGTGAGCGTAAGATTAGCTGTTAATAGATGTTACCTATTGTTGATACAGTACCTTTGGACAGGCTAGCTTTCTCTCTGTTTTTTAAGTTTTGATGCTAAGCTAAGCACTGCATCAATTCACCTTAGAGCTACATACCTTCAGAACACATGTTAGGGTAGTATCTATTTGCTCATTTATATCTCCTCGAAAAGGGAATTAGCACATTGTTGCCATATTACCTTTACATATATTATGTAGCCCCTACTCTGAAAAAACTGAAAAGTTGACTTTAATTAAATGTATTATGTCAACAAATGACACATAACTGTATTAAGTTAGTTGAAAGCAATACTATTTGAACCTAATACTTTTGATTTAAATGTAATAGTATTGTTTTCAACTAACCTAATACAGTTATGAGAAATCTGTTGACATAATACATTTAATTAAAGTCAACGTTTCAGAATTGGTTCCATTCATCAGCGGTGAAGATATCAAAGAAAATGCGCTGCTCTAGTCTTAATCAATAAATACACCAGGATTTCATTCCAGTAAACTCTCAAAAGAGCAATGTTTTCCCCAATTGTAACCACCTGGTGCTATCCCTGAAACTGAAATGCTGGGTTTCAAATATTCCAGGAACTGAACAAAATCAGTGTCATTATCTCTTGATTGCATTCCTTCTTGCTGAGGAAATCACAATCAACAAAAGGACAATTCAACATTAAGATAATTAAAATGGCTGGCTTTTTGGTAGATTTAAAATAAAAAAAACTGTAGAAACAAGTTAATTATTCAAAGCTGCAATTAATGAATCATTGAATACAGAATATTCTTGTTAGAATTATTAAAGACCTTTCAAATTCCTTTCAAAAGTTTTACTTTTCTTGAAAAAATTAGAGAACCAGCAGTGGCACTAATTGGTAATGTTTTCTAATTAGAATGTGACTCACAATTCTTTCCATTTGAGTGTTAAAGGGTAATTAGTTCAACCATGTGAGGGATGGGATATCATGTGGTTAAGATCAGCAGTCTTAATGTATACTTGCTCTGATAAGGACCAAATTACTATGGGTAATTGTGAGATTTTAGGGTAGCACTGAAACAATTTTCAATGACCTCTTTACTACCGTATCACACGTATATGTTGCTCTGGAGGAAGTCACCTTGTATCTGCAGAACTCACCGGTAATATGTGTGGCTAAATTGGTGCCTTAGGAATTTTGTTTGGCAGTACTTGTGATCAGAGGGGGGGGGGGGGGGGGGGGGGGAGTCGTCGGGTACACAAAGGGCAGAGTGTTTCCAGGTGGGATTAGAGGTTTTTAAATGTTTCTGCGGAAATGCAGTTTGCGCTGTTTTGAATGGATTTGAGTTATATGAGATTTCACTGTGAGGTGGAAGATTTTGCTAGTAAATGTGTATTCAGTAGAACAAAAATACACTTGTATTCTATAGGTGAACAGACGTTTTGTGCATAGTGCTTTAAAAAGAGGATTCTTGAGATTATTCAGGTATAAAACTAATTCTGCATGTTTCTGAACATACATTTCACAGTTTAGAGATGCAAAAATAAAATGTAAACAACAAGGACTACAGTTACTTAACTCTATTTCAGGCAAACCTTTTTGAATTACTTTTTATTCAGTATATAAAGGGGGGAAGTTGTTCACTATACCAGCAGGGGGAGACTTTGCCCATACATGGCTGAACTATGAAATGTGGTATATCTAACAAGATGTAGTGGGCCTTTTCTATTCCAATACAAAGAGAATACAGAGTGGTGCATAGATTTCACGACATCCCTACAGCACCAATGAGGGACTAATCAGATATGTTAATAATTCCACAGCTGCATAATAAACATACTTGATTGTAATTTAGTGCAGTGCCTGAGTGAAATTATGGAATCCTCATTAGGGTGCAATTAAAGATCGTTATCTCGATTTAGAAATAAATGGCTCAATTAGTCTGTTATCCGACCTCACCAGTAGAGAAAAAAGACAATAGATAATGATAATCTATATATTTACAGCAAAACCAGGCGTGGGGAGTAACGGGATAATAAGGATACAAAAAAGGTAACTGTATTCCTTTACAGTTTCTTGAAAAAGACGTAATCAGATTACTGGTATAGTTCAAACAAGGTGGATTACTATCAAAATTACACTTTTACAATACAAGAACGATATGTTGCGAAGCACATGATCACACATTACATATTACACATTTTACAAGTTATCGAATTAGTTAAGTCATGTGCTAAACCAAAACAGCATGTGTATAATGTATTGCCATTGCATTTGACAACATCCAAAAGTAACAGAAAGTAATCAGGTTACAATACTTTTATGTTGTTATACTTGGGTTACTGGTTACATTTTTACAGGTATTTAGTTATTGTAACGGAATACAAGCCTGAGCTCATCATAATTGGTCTGTCATGAGTGCCAAGATGCTAGTGTTTTAATGATAGGCTTTATTTGTGCTACTTGTCGCAAGTTCTCTTTCTGTCTCGCGGTGACATGGCCGTAAAGAGCGCACGCACTCAGTAGCGCGTGAGTCGGGCTCGTGCTTTTTGTCGTCGTTATTTCGAGTGAGCGCTGAAGGAGAGAGGAGAGCGAGCTACCGTCCTCGTGCGGATTTCACCAAACACAAGGCGCAGGGAGGACTTTGCAATTGAAACCGTGCGTATTTGTAAATATTTTGTCAGGTTTACACACAGAAAAGAGAGAGAAAAAATAAGTGCCTGGAGAGAGAGGGGGGGAGGAATTACCAAAACGCAACACGTATCCGGTGGGATCCACTCCTGAGAGAGAGAAGCGGCAGGAGTTGGAGCGAAGGGTGCAAGGAAAGCGAGAGGGAGAAGCAGAAGAAGAAGCAGAGGGGAAACATTTGACATTTCACTCGCAACAACGCGTTTTAATTCACAAAGAGGAATAATGAGGAACGTTTGGATAATTTTCACTCTCGGGCTGACCGTCTTCCTCTCCGGGGAAAGGGTAAGTTTTTTGGAACTTAAAAACGGGGTGATAGCTGTGGGGGTGAACGGCAACTTTACGGACCACTCGCTGTTTGTTTGAGAAAACCCGAGCAGTTCAATGGAAACAGTTACATGTTTGTACTCATCGTGTGTGCAATGCACTGCTTTACTATGCGGGATTAAAAAAGAAAAAACGCTGCATGCGTAATTCCCCGATAAGTTTCCATTGAATCTCTGTCTGACATCCAAGCAGACAGGCCTATTGCTGCTACTTTGCACGAGCCCATGGCAATTGTCCTTAAAGCATATACTGAAATATGCATGAAGCTTAAGTACAGTCTGTAGAGGTCAATGTGATTCTCTCACTGCTTCCCTGTAGATGTTCAGCATATGTTAAACATGGGGAACAACTTTAAAGGGATGCTTTTATCTGTAGCCTAAAACACTCTTTCACATCTATAAGGTAATAACTATTAAGACATATGTTATAGAGAGGCTTTGAAAATATCACATAGGAACTACATGACGTCTAAAATAAAGTATTACCACACTGACTGTCAGGGAACACAGAGCTCCTTTATATGAGCAGTATTGTAGT